GATATTGCGGATTCCGGAGGAGATGAGGTTGACAGCAGGGCCATCTTTATCATTCTCATCGAGAGGGACAAAGGTATTCTTAGCGTAGATCTCACCCAGGTGAGCAGTCACTGTATCATGGGGAAGATCCTCCCTCATGGCGCCTGGGAAGACCAAAATTGGAGTCATAACCACGACATCAAAACGCATTCTGGAGGCATTTTCTTGGAGCTGATTGGCCTGGTTAGCTGCAGCTTGCCGGGCAGCGTTGAAGATAGCCTGCATCTTGCCGAACTTGACCAGGAAATTGATTATCTTGCGATAAGGCTCTTCTAAGAAATTTATTTTCATCGAGCCTGATCGGAGGAAGACTTCGGAGTCATATCCCGGGTAAGTTGTACTCTCAGGATCAAAAGTCTCATATTTGAAATCCGCAAAATTCTCGCCTTCGATGGTTAAGAGCCGGCGAAGATCAGAGTTCTCTGAAGCTCCTGTATTGACATCGTCAATCAAAGTCAAGCTGCCAATGCGAGACTGTATGAGCATGGTTTTGTCTACGAGCGAGATGCCCACGTCGGCTGTGTTGAGACTCAGAGTAGCCAGTCTAACACCATCATTATTGAGAATGAGAGCTATACTTTTCAAGTCGGCTTTGATGCGGATCTTTCCACCTTGCTGAGGCTGTTCCTGAACAGTACTGGTGTCCTGGTTCGTCTCACTTGACTGAGTAATCTGATTGTTCGGCTGTTCCGGGTTCGTAAACGTCAGTAGAACGAAGTCAAGCAGTGTCAAGAGTGTCTTCCTCGTTACGACAAGGTTGATGGTGGAAACTGATATATCAAGGTTCATCGCTACACCTTCGTACGTCGACTGGAAAACAGGAGACTCCGGCTTAACTCGAACGAACTTTAGATGGAAAAGGTCCTTGTCTTCGTCGGCATCGAAGCCCTTGGAGGATAGTATCCTTTTGAACTCTGGAACTGGGTTCTCTTCAATGTAATCATCAACACTCAAAGATTTCAGAACAACCTCGGCAACCATGTCAAATGGCCGCATATAGTAGTCCAGCGCAAACCCTTCGGCAACCAGCTCAACCAACAAATGGTCGCGGAGCGGATCCTTCGGATCGGAGCGAGATAATGAGCCACGAAGGCGACCGACCGTGAATTTGAATTCGAAGTCCCGGCGATGTATGTTGGTTGGTTTGTCAACGCTCTTGCTCTGTTCATCGTTAGACTCATCATCAGAGTCTTCGTCAACATTTGGAAGCTCTCTCAGAATGGACGGTTGGAACGAGGAAGATCTTGCCCTGTTACCAGAGGCAGTGGTTTCTTTCGTCGTATTGGCGGTATTGCTCGGCGCGCTACCATCATCGAAGCTGGGGATCGCAATGTCGATCAGCTTCATGAGACCTTTATACTTAGCATCAGACATTGACGCATGCAGTTCTGGAAGGTGACCGGAGATGCGAGTTCTGGTGAGCTCAGTGACCTTTGGCACAATACACATTTCTAGGACAAAATCAACATTGATGCGGTCAATGATGTGCAAGTTCCGGGTCAGGACATCCGTAATTAACTGCGCCTTGGTGGTTTCAATGCCGGGTCCAATAAGGACCTGAGTAGAGTCCAACTTGATAAGAAATCTGTCGTAGAGAAGGTGCTCGAGCTCCTTATAATCACCTTCCTCGTACTGCCGCTTCTGCTTCGATTGAAGATCTCTCATTGTCTGCCGATCGACGAGTTCGCTATTGACACTAATGTGACCAGCGTCGAGAATTAAACAGAGTGAGCTCTCTTGCGTAATACTCTCAGGAACAATAATCAGAGGCGCATGGATATCAAACTGCGCGTCAACCTTCTTGTGCTCCTCTAGAGCAAACTCCAAGCCCGCTCGGGTTTGCTGTCGGATGCCTTCCACGGTGGCACCTGCTGTATCCAGGAGGGCTCCAATTGACTCCATATGTCTCTCTGGCGGTTCGAAGAACTTGACAACCTCGACGATAAACCTCGGATTGTAGATGACCTCAATACTCTTCATTTTGACCTTCACGACCGAATCGGCGTCGCTTTCGAGAGGGTTCTTCTCGAGTTCCAAGTGGAACAAGCCGTCCCTGTAGTCAGAAGCATCATCGCTAGCGTCATACTCCAGCTGACTGTCAGAAGCTTGGGAGAGGCGGTTCTTAGGTTCTGGCAATGAATCTTTGACCTTGACGATCTGCGGGAAAAGACTCCCTTCGGTTGTTCCATCATAAACTCGCAAGCCACCAAGGTTGAGATCGATGAAGAAGGAATCAGGGCGCTGCAGGGCTTTGGCTCTGAAGTTGTCAAACACGAACTGCATGATTTCGTTCGCTTTGCCGTGAGGGTCACGTTTCAATGTAAAGCTTCCAGCTCTCAGACCAGCATTTACCTGCAGCTTCACCCAGTCCCTTGGGACGTCAACGCTGTCCGCAATCGCCTTTTTCTCATCCCAGTCAATAGCATTATACAGTTCCTGTCGCTGTTCTTCGGTCATGGTAGTTTCCTCGGATTCCTCCTTCTTGCTGCCCCAGAACCATTCTGACCAGGTCTGCTGCTGCGCAGGCTTCTTGACACCCACATTCTCCTTTCTTAACTGATTCCTTGCCAGCGATCTCCAGAAACGAATATCTTCGTAGCTGAGCTTTCTTTGAAGGCGCTCGTAGTTTTCAGCGTCTGCGCCTGTCAAGGTTTCTTCACGCTTTTTCTTCTTGAACAAGTCAATGTAGGCGATGCGATCATCTCGTCGTTCCTTGATGTAATCCCAGGTCCAACGCCTATTCCGTTCGTGGATCTTGCTAAGTACAGCCTCCCCAGCAAACCTCAGCCAAGCACGGGGATCCTCCTTGGGTCTGCACTTTGGCTGGAACTTCCTGTATTCCTGGTGTCGGATGAAATAATGGAAGAGATCGACGAGCATCAGCGCATCGCGATACTGGTGGTCGTCAAGGACGAAACTGAGTTCATCAAAGAGCAATCTCGCTTTGATCGCTGCCCTATCATGCCCCCCAGACTTGTCCATTTCTAGACCAGCACGTCCGCTGACTGGCCGAAGCATGAACTGAACATTTTCTTCGCTATCAATGCCTGACCTGAGCTTCTCGATTAACTCCGCATGGCCAATTCCCTGTGCTTCTGCGCCTATGTCGGAACCCCGACCTGTACCCAGAAGGTTTGCATCGGTGTTCCAGTAGATTGCAAGGGCGCCGAGGATTGCCAGTTTATGGGTCGTACCGGAGGTCGACTGGATGAAGGTGGGATTCCACTCGGAGTCGGTGCTGACTGCACTGAGCTCTTTCAGTGTCACACCGAGGGCGAAGGGGTGGTCAGGCGAAGAAATCGAGTCCTCGTAGCGAAAATGCACGTTTTTGATGGATATCTGGAGGTTGTCGACAACGGCCGTTACCAGGCTCTGGGTGAAACTTTGGTTCCGACGCTGCTCTTCCTGGCTCATGCCCTCTGTATTGCGTTCCTTGAGCATTTCCGCGCTCTCAATCTTTTCCATCTTCAAGTGATGCGCCCGCCGCTCCTCCTCCTCCGGGTCGTAGTCCTGATCTTCCTTGGGAGCCGCAAGCAGAAACACATCTTCAATATCAACTTTGACTGGCTTCCCTCGTAGATTTGACCAGGGGATCGACAGGGTGAGCTCTCCGACATGTCCCTCTACAACGTTGAGCGGCAGGCGTAATTGATCGAGGGCCTCTCGTCGAAGCTCCAGGTTATGAAGCTTCACATCGCCAGACCAGATTCCGATGTTCAACTGCCTGCCATCAAAGTTCTTGATGTACATGCCCAGGGTGCGGTTGAGCAAGTTGGCGACGAGACCCTCCAACATGGTTGCAGGATGCGGCCGTAACCCGGGCCGGGGGCTTCTGCGTGGAGACCGTTAAGGGAGGATAGGACTATTCGTAACTGATCGTTTAGGCCAGCCTGATTAGATGAAGCGCAGAGTCAGCATGACATTGATCGGAGAACTACATATTGGTGGGGAAACGAAGGGCGATCGAGCAAACAAATGAAAAGAATGGGAAAAGACCTTTCAATGATGCGCGAGCTCTAGTTGCACACGCAGATAATAGAGAAAAGAGCCATGCAGAAGGTTGGCTCGGTACGCACGCGATACAAATTGCGGGCGGCAAGTGCAAGCAGTGGGCTAACAAAAAGTGGAAGTATAGATAGTGAATCAAGTGCGGAGAAAACGAAAGAGGAACGTGGAAGGCTAGCTGACGTATTCCCGCGGCAGTCAGGTTAGACGGAAAAGTGGTAAGGGAGGGGAGGGGGAATAGTAAGTAGACGAAGGTTGGGTATCAGGCTTGACCCAGTAACCCAATTGTGAAAGAGTGGAGGACGAGACTTGTCTCTAGATAGGCGAGTGTACCTGGGAAGGCATGTGCTGGGCCGATGATAATACGAAGGAAGAAACTAATCACTAATAGGGGGAGGAAGAGGGTGGATAGAGCGCTGCGTAAGTAAACGCCGTGACGCGGAACGGAGCAGTTACGGAGACCCTCTCTCTCTCAGTCACTGTCTCTCCGTAGAATCGGGCCCTGAGTGACGTCGGTGCCTCTGCCATGGCATGGCCTGAGCTGAGAGGATCCCTTCCTTTTCGGGACTAGCTGTCTAGGGCTGCAGCCCTCGTGGCTGAGTCAGCCCGCGTGGTGGTTCGGACCACTCATGCCTGAGGCATTGTCTATGACACCTGCGGGGTTGGTGTCTGTAGTGTGCCGTACAACGACGTGACCGCACCTCAGCATAATATCACCTCATTCATTCGTGGTCTCCAGGATCGAACTGCTTCCCCGGCCTGACATCTCCACTCCCACGAGTCAATCTCGACCAATTTCTGGGTGAATACCCTCATCTCCGCTCTTGCACCTTTTTCTCCTTCTTCCATCAGCTCAATTGGGTGTGTATACCCCCGAATTGCCTGCTTCCGAGCTCTTCCTGCCTCCACCTGCTAACCGCGGATATCGGGAAAAAAAATCAGCTGTCTAGACGACAATGCTGTACAGAACCACTGCTGCCCGCTCTGTCCTCAGGGCTATCTCGAGCTCCAATGCCTCGGTGGCCCGCTCGGCCCTGTCCAACAATGTCTTCAAGGCTCCCTTGACCTCTTCCGCTCGTTTTCCCGCTCGCCCGACCACCTCCCCCAGCCTCGCTCTGGCTGCTCGCAAGCCCGTCACCACTGCTCTTGTCCGCTATGCCTCCACGTCGGCTAAGGTGAGATTGAACTGAAGCATACTGAGTACTATAATTGAGTCAATTGCTGATCAAAGAACCACAGGAAGGCGAGGAGCCCGACATGATGGCCGGTATCAAGACCGAGGCTGTATGTGTTTTCCATTCTTCCCCAGATATCGCTTCCTCTGCGGGGCAATCTAGCCTCTCGGCGGCACATCTGGGACCCAATGCGCTAATGAGTCTCTTTCCGATCTATAGAAAGTCATCAAGGACACCTTCAGCCTGGAGGCCGTCCCCAAGGAGGCCCTCTACCTCGGAATGGCCGGTGTCATCCCCTACGTCGCTACTTCCCTGCAGACCGTCGCCCTCGCCTATGAGGTCAAGACCGCTGCTTTGGCCGGTGATGGCCTGATCTTCTCCGGCCAGAGCGCCGAGTTGATGCTGCACATGATCGAGCCCATCCAGGTCGGCTACGGTGCTGTTGTAAGTAACCCATGAGCCATCTTGGAATTCTTCAACAATCCCCCCCCTTCCCAAGGAGAACCCCTCAAAAGCTAATCAACTTAAACAACAACAGATCCTCTCCTTCCTCGGTGCCATCCACTGGGGTCTCGAGTGGGCCGGCTACGGCGGCAAGTACGGCTACAAGCGCTACGCTGCCGGTGTTATCGCCCCTGCCGTCGCCTGGCCCACCCTGCTGCTCCCCGTTGAGTATGCCCTGATCTCTCAGTTCCTTGCCTTCACCTTCCTGTACTACAACGACGCTCGTGCCGCTGCTTCCGGCCGCGCCCCCGCCTGGTACGGCATGTACCGCTTCGTCCTCACCTTCATCGTCGGTGCTAGCATTGTTGCCAGCTTGATCGGCCGTGAGCAGATCGCTGGTACCCTCAGCACTGAGCACACCATCAAGGACAAGATCAACGCTCTGATCTTCCTGCAGAAGAAGGAGAAGGAGGAGGTTGAGGCCCGTCGTCGTGCTGAGCTCGAGGATGCTGAGTAAGGGATTCAATTAATTGATATCAGTGTTGGTTGGTTTTTTTATCCCTGAAAAGTATATAGTACAAGGGCAATCGGAGAATGGGGGATCATCTGGACCGAGCTGTCTGTGGCAGCATGGTTGGGGAAGTTGTGATACAGTAGAAGTCATGTCGGGTTTTTATGTGATGTAGTTTATACTACTACTATTTTTGGTTGATGTTTTCTTGTAGATTACATGCGAAATCAACAATGCCAGCAGCTGCTGGAAGTTTCATTTGTTCGTGCCATTCGGATACTACCCTGATTTTTTTTTTTTTTTTTTTTTTTTTTTTTTTTTTTTTTTTTTTTTTTTTTTTTTTTTTTTTTTTTTTTTTTTTTTTTTTTTTTTTTTTTTCATCTACCATTCCTAAGTCAATAGGGATAATAGTACTCCGCATTTAGTAATGTGAATTGAGGTCCATGAGCTATCAAAGGAGTAATAGTAGTTATATTGGCAAAAGCAGTCTCACTTCAATGATTAGCACAATTGCCAGGACCGATAAATCCACCCTACAGCATGATGAAGGATTGAGTGCCAGTTCAATGAAGGTCTGGCCAAATCCCCCCCGGAGATTTATATATAAAAAAAGTAGCAATTGAGGTCATGTGATAGCGCCTACACCAAACCCAATCCGAGCATTTACTACATTACTTACTAAATAGTATCTACAGTAGTACCAAGCACTGTAAGCAGCAAAGACTGCATACAGGCGAAAAATAAAATTAGGCAGGGAGTGGGGCCCCGCCAGCAAGGGTAGTTTGAAAGGACACAGTTGGGTTGAAGAAGCTCCCATCCAAATGCGGCCGAAACGACCTACCTGACCGTTCAGAAAAGGAAAGTAAGACGAGGGAGGCGTGCCCAGGCAAGTCGGAAATCCGGGTAGCTTTCTGCGGTACTATAAAACAAACGGTATACCGTATGCTTGACTAAATGCAGGTAAGTAAGGTAATAGATAAGGGTGCGCGGGCGCGCCCAACGAACAACGAACGGCAGGTCTGGAATGTGGCATGCAGGGTGGACGGACGGCATTTGCTTCTGCAGTGTCGGGTGTTCCGAACGAATCCGAGTCGTGGGATATAGAATGTGTTGTGCCTGTGATAGGTAGTAGTATACAGTAGTTAGGTGAGGTAGTAGGAAGAGTTGAGACTGGGTTACTATGGCGTGTGATACGGGGTGCGCTGCTTGTGCAGATCAAGAGCCAACAATGACGACCGGAACGGGGAGGTACCGCGTTGAAACCTGTTTCGGTGGGGGAAAGGAGGGAGTCTGACGAAGTGCGTGTGGTGGACGGCCGCCGCGGGTCTGGATCCAGTTGTTGCTGTGCTGTGTGTAGGTACGCCTTAGGCATGCATACACATGCTTCCCATCGGGATCTTGTAGCAATAGGTAAATCTGGTTAGGGGTCCTTTGTTTCGGCGGACAGGGTATATTTCTTCGATGGGAATTGGCTGATGATATAGATGCTTGGCAATTGAGCTTTCGGGGCAAATAGTTCTAGTGAGGTCATACTCGAAAGGCGAATGATTACATAGATGACCATATTGGAAGCTGAACCTGTTGATCTTCTCCGCTCAGTTTGGGGAGGACCACAACGGTTCCTGGGGCAGTTGCTTCGTATACCTGAATAGGGATAGATGGCAGATCAATGTCGTGGCTAGTTGATGATGGGCGGGCTTGGGGTTTCTGCTGGCTTGTTTGCTGTCTTGCTTGCTTGCGTTGCTTGGGGACCATTTCGTGTCGGTGGGTGTGATTTATTGAGGTGGTCCCTAGGAAGGTCAAGTCCGGTCGAAGACGTCACCACCCGGGAGTTAGATTTGGGGGCGGCCCTGCCGTGGCGGTTCACTATACGGACGGAGAAATGTAGGCAGGCGGCATGATTCCCATTTCCATGGACGCATACTGAGCCTATCGTTTAATATTCTCCAGGGAGGGATAGGGAAGTCTGAAGCGATTTGAATTCATCGATGGATCGGTATCGTGGTTCTCAGGTTGGATAATTAATCCTACTATATTTTGGCGCGTCTGGACTGGTCCGAGCAGAAGAAGAGTATTGGAGTTAGCCGGAACGCCAGGACGATAGCCGGGAGAATTGGTCCCGTGGCCCCCCCCCAGCCCAGCTGCTAGGCTTCCCTTCACCCCAGCCAAGCCGAACCGAGTATCCGGATTGTAAAATTTCTCCGTAAATCACAGGGCCGAACGAGGTCGCCTCCCCCATGTCTCTCTGCCTAATGGAGAATGGTACAGCGGCACGCTAGAAGGTCGCCAGTCAGGGGAGCCGACGGTCTAGAAGGCCGAAGTAAAATGTGATTGCAAATGGAGGGAAGGGGACAACACATCCATTGAGATGGATGGCAAGTAGTCACTTGATCTCTACTAGTATGTACGGTTAGTTTACGTGTGTGCTCCCGTGCTTGAGAACCGGGGTGAACTGTGAAGGGAACTAGATACTACTATTACTACTCAGAATGGATTGAAGATCTCAAGCGCAACAGCACAGCAGGGACTATCCGAAAAGGAGAATTATCCATTCGGTGTTCAAGTGATCAGAAAGAAACAGAGTAAAAAAAGGAAAGAATATTGGAGCCAGGGGTCGAAAGGCCCTGGTCTAGATCGTCGATTGCTTGAACAACGCGTGAAAAGGGACTAGCGGGAGAAAAATGGACATTGTCATGTGCTCGATCGACAGGAATCTAGTAATCCATCTAGTCAATGTAGAAGCGCAGAAACCCGTAGTAGCGGAGTCGGAGACTCACCCGCAGAGCCCCTCTTTTTTTCTTGCGCGTTTCGCCTTCAAGTCGCGACATTATCCATTCAGCGCCGACCCCGCCGTTCTGGTTGTTGAGTCGGGATCCTTGGCAGGGATTGTTGTCAAGGGGGGCGGGTGTTGAAGGGGCGCAAGACGAGAAGACGGTCTACGGTCTCTGGGGCAGATGGACCGGAGATCCATTGGGCTCTAGGGATGCCGATTGTAGATCGTCGAGGGGACATGTCGGTATACAGGCATTCATACATTGCATCCTGAATTGTCCAGTCGTTTAGGTCGGGCAGGCTTACGTATCGATGTACGATGCATTGATCTGGCGTCTGCGGGTTTTTCTTGGTAATCAAACAAGGAATCGGAATGATAGATCAGAATCGCGATTGATTGTTTAATGTCACCATTGAATATGGGATTGGGCGCGAAACAATTAATCACACCAATGAGACCAGCGACATCGGGAATAACAACAATAATAAGACCAATATCAAATCAATATCACTATGAATATTAACATCTGCCATGTTTCACATCGCAATCTGAGCAGGCCGGTCAGCCCTTAATTGCTTGTTTTGGACCCAATGGAATCCTGGATGTTCTTTTCCATATGGCTCCGTGTTCGCGGGTGGTTCTAGGCACAGACGCTAGCTAATGCGGGTGGAGGGATTGTCCTGGAAACAGAAATCCATGGAATTTTTATGGGTCCGCCATGAGTGTCATGTGGGAGTCCAGCGACTATTCTTAGCGCTTGTCTAACTCTGGAATACTACCTACTCGGTCTGCTGGGTCGGATACCTTGCCGATGAGGGAGAAAGAGGAAGAGAAAGAGGAAATGAATGATCTGTGAATTGTGAAACCTTGTCGGCACTATATCCGTGCTTTTGGGTCAAGATAATATGTCGTGACAGCTGGAGATGATTACATTTGCATAACGTTTCTCATTTTACAATCAATCAATGATCTATCAACGTTTACCGTAGTATTTTGAACTCTCAACAAAAGAGAAATCGAATGAGAAAGAAGAAAAAAAGAATAAAAGAAAAAGGTTCAATGGAGAAATTGGAATCCATCCACACCTGCCAGGTACTACTGTATTCAGTTGTATCTACTCCAGAATCCGTAACGCCGATGGAAGCCCACCGAATAAGCTAAAGAGATAAGAATGGCGAGTGACCAGGGGTAAACCTTCCTAAAATCACCCAGAAGGCATGGTTGCCATCCGCGTAAGGGGGGAGACCGGAGAACCTTCACAAGTGTTCGACAAGAAAAGACCAACGGGGGGGGCATGAGGGAGGGGCGGGTGTCAATGCTGACGACGGGCAGTGGTCGTCTGATCAGAAAAAAAATGATGAGAAGGGCCCAGAAGGGGAGGAAGGAAGGCAAGATTAGTGGGAAGTGGAAGGGGGATTTGCCCATTGATTGCTGGCTGCGTTTTTCCCAGTCCTTCCTTTTTCCCTTTTTCCCTTTTTTCCCTTTTTCTTTTCCCTCTTTTTTTTCTTTCCCCCACGCCCCCACTTCTCCGCCATGGACGAACGGGGATGCGCATCCAGCAGATTGCCAGATTGGGTACTCGCCGCTAGTCCATTGCACCTGCTCTTCTGACCCTCTTGTCTGTATCTGTATTGGTATTGAGTGTCCTGCGGCGCCCCCCCTCCTCCTCCTCTCTCCTCTACTACCTCCTTCTAGGTTTCCCCGGGCTAGTCCAGTCGATAGCAGCAGGTACTGGTACGGTACTAGCGATCTAGGTCGGATGGACTCGACTCGACTTGGACCTTACTTTCCGGCAGGAATACCACCTAGACCCAGGGGATTCCCCGGAACAAGCTATGCATGACCCAAATCCTATCTGGGGGGTGAAATTTTTAATAATTTGATTGAAAAGGGAAAAAATTGAGGGACTACCACGCAAAGAATAAAATAAAAATAAAATAAAAATTTAGGGAATAAATTATCAGCAACCCCGAGGGACAACGTGAACAAGAAAAAGGTCCCACCGAGTTGGATAAAGAGTCTCCCTCATCCTGCCTCCAGCATCTTTTGAGCCAGATTTGATTGATTCCCTTCCGTTCTGTTCTCCCTGCCCTTCCCTTCTTCCTCCCGTCGCCACACCCCAATAAACCACACCCGGTCTTATCCTCTCTCTCTGCCTCTCTGTGACCTCATACCTCTGCGGGACACTCTCCTCTCAACTCTCTCCAGCCTTTCAGCGGTCTACCCACACCTGGCGCGTCCTCTTGTTTCTCCAGATTCGTCTCGGATCGCTCTCCACCCAATCGGTTATCACGCATACGTCACCATCCGTCGCGCTGGGTCCTTGCTCTCTTACTTGCTCGCTGCTCTCATACTTGCACACTCTGGATCTGTACTACTTGCGCGCTACTACTGGCCTGCTGCAACTGCCGCCACCGGGCCTTCTCTTTTCGTAGTTCCAGCCTTACCTACTATTCCCCTCTCGTCCGTCTTTTAAGTATCGGACTTGGGACGTAATCCTGTTTTCCTCCTCCTTTCTATTTCAATACCGCCACGATTTCTCCAATCGGTTCTTCCCTTTTTCAGGCTCTGCCTTCCTGGTCACTTCTATCCTCCCTCTTTAGGAAATCAGAAGTCGGAGCCTCAAAAGCCCCTCCCATCGCACAAATGCAGAAATCACCCACCATCACTTTTGACTCTATCAGTCTTCCCGATCCTCTCAACCCCCCCACCAAGAAGACCAGAACGCCACCAATTACTACCTCCAAAATGAGGAATCCTTTCGATATGGCCGACCTGGACTCCGCCGTCGAACAGGAAGAACCCCAGCCTTTCATGGATATTCACGCCTACCAGTCGCATGATGGCAATCGCTCCCTCTTACAACCCAACGAAAACCGTCACAGTATGAAGGATCGCTTTATCGGTGCCATTGACACTGGTACCACCAGCTCCCGTTTCATCATCTTCGACTGCACTGGTGTTCCTGTGGCCAAGTACCAGATGGAATTCCGCCAAATCCACGAGAAATCAGGGTAAGTCTTTTACGAGCGTTCCACCTAGTCCGTCTTCATCACGCTTATGTCTATTCGCTACTTCTTAGATGGCACGAACAAGACCCCTTCGAACTTGTCGATTCCGTATACACCTGCATTGAAGAGGCTATGAAGACCTTCCTCGCACTCGGCCACTCCCGGGACGATATCGAGGCTATTGGTATTACCAGTCAACGTGAGACAACCGTGTGCTGGGATTGGGAGACTGGCGAGCCTCTACACCACGCAATCGCGTGGCCAGATACCAGAACCACTGGGCTGGTTCGAGAACTCAAGACAAAGGAGGGTGCGGATGAGCTGTCAAACATTTGCGGCCTTCCCCTATCGACCTACCCTTCCTCCATCACCCTCATGTGGATGCTCCGCAACCTCCCCGAGGTTAAGAGGGCATATGATGAGGGCCGCCTTGCTTTTGGTACCATCGACACCTGGCTGATATATAACCTGAACGGTGGCCCGGAGGGCGGCCGGCTGGTGACTGACGTCACCAACGCCTCACGAACCATGTTCATGAACCTCGAAACGCTTGATTACGATGATAAGTTGTTGAAATTCTTCGAAATTGATCGGAACAAGATTAGACTGCCGAAGATTCTCCCTTCGTCTGACCCGGAGGGCTACGGATGGGTTAGAGACGGCCCGCTTGAGGGCATTCCTATCACAAGCTGTCTCGGAGATCAGTCTGCAGCCTTGGTCGGTCACTGTGCCTTCACGCCTGGATCTGCGAAGAACACCTATGGCACGGGCTGTTTCCTTCTCTACAACGTTGGTGAGAAGCCAGTTATCTCCAAGCATGGCTTGCTTGGCACCGTGGGCTTCCAGCTGGGCAAGCACCGCAAGCCAGTGTATGCCTTGGAGGGCAGTGTCGCTGTTGCTGGAAGTGGTATCTCTTTCCTGATGAACAACATGGGTTTCTTCCGTGATTCCCGCAAAGTCAGTGAGGTCGCTGCGACCGTCCCCGACAGTGGCGGCTGTGTCTTCGTGACGGCCTTCAGTGGTCTGTTCGCACCCTACTGGATTGATGATGCCAAGGGAACCATCTGTAAGTTCACCACGCTTTCTTTACCATTTGTGGGAGAAAGATCTTTACTGACTCTATCTCAGTTGGTATCACCCAGCACACCCAGCGTGGACACATTGCACGAGCCACCATGGAAGCGGCCTGCTTCCAGACCAAGGCCATCTTGGATGCCATGGAGATGGACAGTGGTCACAAATTGTCGGAATTGGCCGTCGATGGCGGTATGAGCAATTCCGATATTTGCATGCAGGTAGGTTACTCACATGACTCTTGTCACTTGACGAGCGGAAACTAATCCCCCTTCTTAGACTCAAGCCGATATCATTCAGATTCCCGTTGAACGCCCGGCCATGCACGAGACGACGGCGCTGGGAGCCGCGATCGCAGCTGGCTTTGCAGTCAACATCTGGAAGGATTTCAGCGAGCTCAAGGACATGAACCGGGCCAACCGCACTACCTTCCTTCCCCATGCCTCTCCAGTGCAGAGCAAGAAGATGTACCGTCAATGGAGCAAAGCCGTCGAGATGTCGCGTGGCTGGCTCGACACGAACGAGTCGGAAGAAGAAGAAGAAGGACAGAACGGTGCATAGTATCCTTCTTAATCCCGCGTCATAGAACGGTGGCTTTGTGTCTTTTTAAACATTTGATTCAGCGATTTAGCGTCTTGATTTTCTCATTGCTTTGCACTCGGGGTTACGGCATGGCTACTAGGGTCCGGGGTTCGGCCTGGCACAGGTTCAATTTCTCTGGGGATACCTGGATTCCGCATCAGGTACATTATCGGTATATATAGCTGCACGGTACTTACCTTATACATATTCATGTCATTGATATTTCTTTCAGATAGATATAATGGGAATGACGTCTGATGATGAACATAGTACTGAACATTAGATGTAGCTACAATTACCTATTCGAAACTACTAGATGAAGAACATAGATACATCGGCATCACACTCGACTTCTACAGTCCAGTAAAAGAGTATAAAAATATTGAAGTTGACCTGCCCCAACATGAAGCATAAGATTCATAGTGATCTGTATGTATGGTATGGTATCACAACTAACCCACAAAAACAATAGCAATAAATAAAAGACACCTCTGATCCAAACCATAACCCAGCATAGTAGAAAATAATGTATATAATCAGTGTTAAGGGCAAGTATCTATCTACCTCCCCTCCGCCCTCTCCACCAACTGATCCTCCAACCCCATAGGCTCCCACATCTCCTTAGCCTTCTTATTCTGCACCCAGACCACATCGCCCTGCACGAACGCCACAACACCTCCCTTACCCGTCGCGCTAGCCGTAATGCGGAACAAAGGCTGACCGTTTTGCGGATGCGCTTCACGCAACGGCAGCATGATGAGGCCTTGTTCCATGCACCAGGATTCAAGAATATCTTTGAAGGCGACTTCTTCGATGATTTTGGGTTTGCGGGATTGTTGTTGTTGTTTTTCTTGTTCTGCCGCTGTTGTCGTGGCGGCGGGTTTGGTTGTTGAGGGGTGTTCGGTGGTAGATGAAGGAGGAGGAAGTTCAGCAGCGGCACGGTCGCCGAGTTGGGAGGCGAGGTCTATAGTTTGGAGGCCCTTGTTCCATTCATCATCGACGATAGTGAGGTCGTTGATATCGGTGGGGATTTGGGTGCGCCACCAGGTGAACCATTCGGCGACTTCTTCGTAGTTGGGGTCGTTGGTGAGCCAGATGTAGAGGATGTTGTGCCATTTGGGGAAAAATTCGGCGACGAGGAGAAGACCCATGACGTTGGGTTTGAAGAAGACTTTCCATTTCAGGACGTTTTCGAGGGCCGTGAGGTCTTGGTCTTGCGGGTTGACTTCGAAGTCTTCGCGAAGGTGGCGGCCTAGGCGGGGGAGGAGGTGGTTGCGGAGACAGATGTCGAATTCGGAGCCTAGGGCGTCGCGCCAGAGTTCGATGCCGTTAATTAGCCCCTTGTTGAGGTCCCAGCTGTCGAGGACGACGCGGAATTTGCGCTTCGCGTCGGAGAGTAGGCCCGTGGGTTGCTTGGGGTTGGTGTGCCGCTCGTCGAGGTATTGGAGCCAGGTGAAGAGCCACCAGGGGAAGCGGGAACTGTTGGAGGATGAGTTGTGGTGACGGCGGCTGCTGCTTCGGGGTTTCCATTCTTTCAGACCGTTGGAGAGCTTTGGTACGACGAGTTGGTCGAGGACGTTGGTGTAGACGAAGGGGGGGAGGAGCTCTTTCCAGGCGACTATGAGGGAGGTTGCTGGGGCGGGCTCGTATACGTCCCAGTCGTTGAGGAGGGCGGAGCGCACGCGGGGCAGCCATAAGGTGTAGATCATGGTCTCGTAGGGGGAGGTGGATTGTCGCTGGGTGTGCTCGTTGTTGGCCTTTCGAAGGAGTAGGGGCTGGAGACGACGGAGGTTGGATACGAGGAACGTCGGGTCCCTGAGAGGCTCCCATTCTTCCATCGCTTGGCGGAAAAGAGGATGGATGGCTGCGACGGCCGTTTCTGGCAGTCGGTATTCATCAATCTCGCTGCGGTACTTGATCTCCATGGACTCCAGCTTATCGGTGATTTCGTCGAACTTTGCTCGAGTGTCTTCCTTCTGGAAGATCTCTAGTTGCCCGATGGCTGTGACGAGCTCAGACAGCTGGTCGACCTTGAGCTGATTTGTATCAAGTTGTTCCACGACCTGGGCTTCCTCTAGCTCGATGTACTTTTTCCGCTCTGTCAGACCCTTCCACTCGTCTGCAAACGCCTCTAGGTCGTTCCGAGCACGTTGCGCGATTTTCCAGGCTTCTCCCTCGCCTTGAGTAACGAATGTTTGCGGCGTCATCAGACCAGCTGTAGACGTGAGCACCTTCTGGTCCTTCCCAGTCGCATCGATCAGCGACTTCAGCACGTTCGGAACTTCCAAGCCCTCCATATCCTTTTCCATCTCGCGCGCAGTTCGGAACTGGGGCTTCGCGCGAGCCACTGGTGTCCCTGTCCCGCTCCGGCCCTCTCGTTTACGCTCCTCCTTCTTTTTCCGTCGCCTCTTGCGCTCTTCATCTGAGCTATCCTCGACGGACTCGCCCCGGAGAGCTGCTGCCCGCTTTTCCTCTTCTCGCGCTTGCTTTGTCTTCTCACGGACCGCACCCAGACCGGCACCTGTAGGACGAGCCTGGGCCTCGATCGGGTTGACGATACCTTGACAGGAAGAACCCAAACCCTGTCCCTCGACGTAACCCATCTTGGCCATCATGCGCGCGGCGAAGGAGTTGCCTCCGGACATTCCTTTGCCAGCATTGTTGCCTCCGCCTTTCATCGCTGACTGCGCGGTGTTGTTCCGGGGATTGCGACGAGAGCTTCCCAGCCCGCCGTGAGAAGGAGGCGACTCAGAGCGAGACGACGCGCGAGCAAAACCGCGAAAGCCCATGGTTGGGCGGTAATCTTCTTCTTCCTCTTCATCGGAGCTCATGTCGGCGATTTTGCGTTTCTGGCCGGCGTATGGCGAGGACGAGGGGGACTCCATGGCCGGGCTTGAGGACAAAAGGCAACACAAAGGAAGGAATCGAGATTCACGGCGAGGAAGTCGAGAGAAAGCCCGGCAGCATGACGGAGATCCTGATTGAGTATGAATGGATGAAGCTAAAAGATGGTGGATCCAAATGCCGGGAAACTTCGGCGCGGGGAAATGCGCCCTCCGAAGAAACAAGCCGTTATGACGTTGAACTTCTTCATCTCTCCTTCTTCCTTCTTCTTCCTTTTTCCCTTCAGCAACTCTCCTCTCATCCCTCTAAACACCCCCGGGTCTATAGTAATAGTGCATCTTGCTCTGTTCTAATTATCGCTCACAATGGCTGCTTCCCTCGTCCGCACCTCTGCCCGTACGGCCCTGCGCGCCGGAGCTTCGGCTACTCCCAGAACTGCCGGCATGGCGGGCTTGACCTTTGCCCGCGGCAAGGCTACTCTCCCTGACCTGTCCTGTATGCATCCAGCTGCCATTCTCGAGACGCATAAATCTTGAAGTCACCGAACTGACTCCCTGTAGACGACTATGGCGCTCTCGAGCCCTCCATCTCCGGCAAGATCATGGAGCTTCACCACAAGAACCACCACCAGACCTACGTCAACAGCTACAACACTGCCATTGAGCAGCTCCAGGAGGCCCAGCACAAGAACGACATTGCGGCCCAGATTGCCCTCAAGCCCCTGATCAATTTCCACGGTGGTGGTCACCTGAACCACACCCTCTTCTGGGAGAACCTTGCTCCCAAGAGCGCTGGCGGTGGTGAGCCCCCGTCCGGTGCCCTGTCGACTGCCATCAACGACACCTTCGGCAGCCTGGAGGAGTTCCAGAACAAGATGAACGCTGCTCTTGCTGCTATCCAGGGTAGCGGCTGGGCCTGGCTCGTCAAGGACAAGCAGACCGGTCACATTGGCATCAAGGCCTACTCCGTAAGGATGCGCCATGCATGCGAAGAAAGTATTCGAGTTGGCTAACAATTTCACAGAACCAGGACCCCGTTGTCGGTCAGTTCCAGCCCCTGCTGGGTATTGACGCCTGGGAGCATGCCTACTAGTAAGTGCACCTGACCCAACCCGTTGAAATTATCAGGAGCTAATATTGTCTATCTAGCCTCCAATACCAGAACCGCAAGGCCGAGTACTTCAAGGCCATCTGGGAGGTCATCAACTGGAAGGCCGTGGAGAAGCGCTTCTCCGCGTAAAGCTTTCCTTATGATATGAACTGTATATTGACGCGGCTTGATTAGCGATTGTGGATCTGCGTATTATGTGTACTATGGATTTGGAACTAATCAGGCTCAACCCGATGCCCTAATGCAAATTCCGTATTAATGGCACTCTTCTCTTCTTTTTATCCTCTCCGTAAACAAATAGACCCTTGTTCCTCATCAGCCACAGTGGCTGAAGCTCGGCAGGTGGCGGATGGCAGCTCCGTAACATCCGGTAAACGTAATACAGCGCCGATCATGTTTCACATTCGCTGCATCGCCGGCTTCATCTTCATCTTTATCTTCTTTTTGTCCTCCCATCTCCTCCGCTTCTTACTCCATTCTCCCCCATGTCTGATGACAGTCCGGGAGAAAGGCGCGGCTTCCGGGCCTTCTTCGCCAACGCTCTCCGGCCCAAGAAATCCCGGCAAGTCTTGCGCAAGGGCTACAGCGCATCCACTCCAGACCTCCGAGCCGGCTTCAAGCGGCCCAGCACTACCAGCGAAGATGTCCCTCCGCTGCCCTCCCTGGCGCCATTGGAGGCACATCGCCTCAAATACCGAGAACTCAACGCCAACAAAGACACCCAGCTCGGTGAAAGCCGCGATCACACCGAACTCCTGCACGCCATCGGCGTCCAGGATCTCGATCCCTCAGACCCTTACGCCAACCGCGCCGAGTTCGACAACCGTCCTCCTGGCGAGCCCGTAATCGCCAGTCTCCCCCCGATCCTCTGGGAAGAGATTTGCTCCTATCTCACGCTCGCAGACCAAGCCAGTCTCGCCTTCGCCAGCAAAACCCTCCGTTCCAAGCTCGCCCCGCTCCAACCCTGGCAAGCCCTCAACCACCCTTCCAACCGCGAATACCGCTCCGACTTCCTCGTCTCCCAA